AATGCTTAACTTTCTTGAAAAAAAGTAATATCCCAAAAATAAACATGATCCAGAAAGAAGAACTAAATAAGGAAATTTTCCTTCTGAAATCCTTCAAGAAATGCAAGAAACACCTATTGGAAAAGCACCCAGTCTAGAAGGGTTTACTATTTTGTGTTATATTTGTTTACCTGTAACCTATATTTTAATTTATAGGTTTTCCTTCACTTTATTTACCTATAATTTCATTTATAGATTTTCCTGCTCCCTTATAACCTGTCTGGGGCATATTGCCTAACTTTCTGTTCTTGTTATCCCCTCTATATATTTTACCTATACTCTCGCTTATAGGTTCTCCTACTACCTGTTACCTATAATTTTCACTTGAAGATTTTCATGATGCCTAATAACCTTTCTGGGTCATATTGCCTAACTTTCTATTCTTGTTATTTCTTCTATATGCCTACCTATAATCTCGCTTATAGGTTCTGTTTTCTCCCTTTGACCTGCATTTTACTTTATAGGCATTATTTCCTAAGTAACTTGTTCTGGACATATTTCCTAATCCTCTATTTAATATTCTCCTTTTTACTTTCATTCCTCTATATTATTTCCACTTCCCTTTAATTCCTGCTACATTTATTACAAGAAAACCATTTCAAAGTTTATAAATAAAGAGCCTTAAGTTAATCCTGGTATAAATCTCATATGTGACCTGATCAAGAATCTGGCACCATCTGATCATTATGAGTAATGGATTATATCAACTAATCCATTGGCCAAAATTTTAGAGTGCAATTTTGTATTATTCTAATGGTATAGGCCTAAAATTTGCCCAGGAATCAGGTGTTTTTACAGGTTTTGGTACAGTAATAATTTTAATCTTGTACATCCTCAGGCCATTGGTACCGTTAACTCTATATAAGTTATCCAATTTAATTAAATGATGGAGTAAAATATGTTTACACTGTTTTATAGTTCAAAATAGTAAACCCTTCTAGACTGGGTGCTTTTCCAATAGGTGTTTCTTGCATTTCTTGAAGGATTTCAGAAGGAAAATTTCCTTATTTAGTTCTTCTATCTGGATCATGTTTATTTTTGGGATATTACTTTTTTCAAGAAAGTTAAGCATTTTAAGATTTGCAGACTGCACAGTATCTTGAGTCAAATTATGAAGCGATTTATAATAGGATGCAAACATGTTTCTTCTGTGAATCAGATGAGAAATCTTGTTACCCTTATCATCCAAATGTATGGATATGGAAAGACAGAAAACTTGTAATGGTAAAAATATTTGGGCGATTCATGGAGGAATATCTCCTCAAAAGTGCGGGGCCTGGGTATGTCTGCTACTTCAGCAATAAACAGTAGAACTTCAGTCCAGTACATTTGTATGATAGGGCACACACCAGATCCCACCAGATGTGAGTGTATGTGCCTCCCTCTGTTCCACACCTCCAGCATCTGTCAGAAGTCTGGGGAAACATAGAGCATAGTGCCATAGGGGTCTTGGTCTGGTGAGAAGTTTGAAGTTCATCTCAACAGATGGAACGTCTAATGTGCCGAGGTGTGTGAACTGGAACGATTTATGCCACGCTGCGGGAGGCAGAACTATATTGAGCTCAGTTTTCCAGGCCTTGGTAAAGACAAGTGGGGTGCAGCAGAGCTGCTCTTGTAGTGTGTGTAAATCATAGAGAGGATCTTGGCGTTCTTGGGGGGTGTAAACACCATTTTTCTAATGGGGTGCAGGGCGCCGGTGGTTCTGATCTGATCTGGTAGTTGGCAAACAAAGTTAATTGGTGGTACTGAAATTTATCTAGAAATGTTGAGTTGGCATTTGGGCAAAGGTCTTGAATACTTTGATTTTACTTCTGAAAGGCTGGGTTGAAGGAAACAGGAAGCAGTGGAGATGGGCAATTGTTAAATTGAACTTCCTAGGTAATTTCCTCCAGGTTTGTAGTAGTGGGCTGATCGTGGTGTTGGGGGTTGGGCAGAGCGCAGAGACAGTGACTGTCTGCCATGGGAGTGTGGCTAGTGGTAATTCAATGCAACTTTGTTCTAGGTCCTTCCAATGTGCATGATTTCCCTTGTGGCACCACACAGGGTCAAGGCAATAAGGCAGGTAAGTACCTTTCAGTATGATGCAATTCAGGTAAATACAGGATGATGCAGAGTTGAAGTAGTTAAGGCAGGTAAGTATCTTTTGGTATAATGCAATAAGTATAAGTATAGGATGATGCAAGGTTTCTTACAGGAGCCAGGATCTGAAGTTCTTAGTTGGAACACTAACTTCAATGTCAAGGCGACTTGGCTTATAAGGTGTGGCCTTTTATAGCAGACTTGATTGTAAATTTATCCAGGTGAGAGCCTGAGATGACTAGTGCTTAGGGAGGCCACTAGAGACGAAGATCAGGAATTGTAATTAAAGGGCCAGTAATAAATGAAAAAGTCTTGCTTGTCAGTATTGGAATCTGACACAGTGGTGTATAGTTGTTTTTGAAGAGATGTTTAAGATCCTGGGTGACGTTGATACCCAAATATTTAATGTGTGAGTTGGTGAATTTGAAGGGTTAGGCCCTTTTTAGCGTCTTGAGTAAGGTTATCTTCGTAGACAAGGGAAGTATCTCACTCTTGTCATAATTGACTTTAAAGTTTGATACAGAAGAGTTCTGTGAGTAAATTTGGCAGGGACACACAAGGGTTAGTGACTGTGAACAAGAGATCATTGGCATATGCCGAGACTTGGTAGTATGCCGAGGTACTTTTGACTCCTGTGATTAGTTGATTAGACCTAATTGCATTCTTATGTAAGGATGAAGAGAAGAAGAGAGAAAGAGCAGCCCTGCTTAGTGCCATTCTGTATGTGTAGTGCGTCTGAGAGGGTGCCGTTTACCTGAACTCATGCTTGTGGGCCCATGAATAGTGCCTGTACCCAAGACAGCCAGTGATCCCCAAAACCAATCACCCACATGGTGTCGAAGAGGAGGGACCAGTCCACCCTATCAAACGCTTTTTCAGCATCTTTGCTTATCAATAATGTTGGTGTTCAGTGAAGAGTTGTTTTGTTTATAAGATTTATGATTTATGATCTCCTCTCAACTTGTGTGATTTTCAGAGTATGTGTGTGTCTTTGGTTGATTTATGGTGTATTTCCAGAATGTTGATGTCTTTTAGAAGAGTGGAAATCTGCCTTTCTTTAGCTTTTTGGATCGGGAGCCGATTTGGACGAGGAAGCCTCTCAGTACACATTTGTGTGCCTACCAGGTGTTCATGGGAGAAGTACCTTCAGCCAGGTTGTCTTTAAAGTATTTTAAGATTATTTTCTTGGAGTTGCAATTTTATTTGCTGGTCATTCAAGAGGGAATCATTTAGTTTCCAGTTCCAGGTATGGACTGGATCTGTGGGTAAGGTTATAGACACCTCAACTGGAGCATTGGTCCGACCATGTTATGGTGCCAATGCGTGATTTCGTAACGAGATGAAGGAAACTATGGTATATGAAAATTGTGTCACGTCTAGAGTAGGAGTCTTGTGGGTGGGAGTAAAATGTGAACTCATTGGAGGTTGGATTTATTAGTCTCCGACAGTCCACAAGTTGATTGGTGTGGAGAGTGTTGAGGCAAATCTCCCTTTGAGGCGAGGAGGGGGATCCGCGACTACGAAGCGCATCTAAATGAATGTTGAAATCCCTGCCACATATCAATATCCCTTGTGTAAAGTCACTGAGTTTAAGCAAAGTCTGTGTAAGGAGGAATCCTTGACGCGTATTAGGGGCATAAATGTTTGCTAAAGTGTAAGGTTGGGAGCCAATTTTACCCTTGACAAAAAGAAACCTTCCCTGTGGGTCAGATATTTGTTCCTCCAGTACAAATGGGATGTGGGCTGTAAAAAGTATCGCCACCTCCCTCGCCTTAACCACCTTGTAGTCACCGAAGAACCCCAGCGGGTACTTATGATGCCGCAGAGGGGGCGCCGAGGCCCTGCAGAAGTGAGTCTCCTGTAGTATCGCAATGTCAGCTTCCATCTGCTTCAGATTTGCTAGAAGAAGGTGCCTCCTCTCCAGGATGTTCAGCTCCCTGACATTCAGAGAAACCAAAAGGCATGACATAATGGAGAGAGAAAATTAGTATTCTGTGCAGTCAGGGAGGCCCTCTGCGTGGTCAATCATGTAGGTAGGCCTTAGCAGAAATTAAGGTCACATGACCCTTTACGTTGCACTGTGTTCAGATCAGGGAAGTAAAGAAACAACAAAAGAAAATACAAAATAAACTAGTAGAAACCAGAAGAACTATTTACACTTTCAGTGGTCGTGGTTATTTACTTGTATAAGTCCTCCCTATGCAGGGAGAGAAGTTCAGAGATAAAAGATGAGATTTGTGCCAATTCCTGGGATAAAGGGGAGCTACCCCTGGTCCCCAGGAATTAAAAGACCACTATAGGCACCCAGACCACTTCAGCTCAATGAAGTGGTCTAGGTGCCAGGTCCATCTAGGGTTAACCCTGCAGCTTAACCCTAGAGAAACTGCTATGTTTACATTAGGGTTAATCCAGCCTCCAGTGGCTGTCTCATTGACAGCCGCTAGAAGCGCTTCCGCGCTTCTCACTGTGATTTTCACAGTGAGAAGACGCCAGCGTCCATAGGAAAGCATTGAGAAATGCTTTCCTATGGACTGACTGAATGCGTGCGCACGGCTCTTGACGTGCATGTGCATTTAGTGGATAACATCGGAAGAGGGAGGAGAGTCCCCAGCGCAGAGGGAGTCAGGCGCTGGAGAAAGGTAAGAATTTAACCCTTTCCTCCCCCTTCAGTCTGGCGGGAGGGGGGCCATGAGGCTGGGGGGGACCAAAAGACCCTATAGGGATATCCTCCACGGCGGTGATTTTTGCTGTGGTGCCTCCATGGATGGCAGTCAGAGTGAAGGGGAAGCCCCAGCGATATGTTATCTGTCTGTCTCTGAGCTGTCTCATTACAGGAGTAAGTGCTGTATAGTAGTCCAGGACAGGTCTTGAAATAGTTGGACCTAGTGATCCATAAAGCGTATTGCTGCCGAGGCCTGGGCTCGTTTCAGGATAATGTCTGTAAGGTCAAAGTCATAAATGCAGCAAATAATATCACTTGGGGCCCCATCGGGTCGGCCATTTGGCTTAAGTGCTCTATGCTCCCTGTCCAGCTTGATGGCAGTGTCTTTGGGGCGCTCCAGGATGGAATTAAGCAAGTGACACAAAATGGAGGGGATATCTTAGGGGGTTTGGTTGGCCTCAGCTTTCCCCCTGACCCTGATATTATTCATCCGACCCCTATTATCAAGGTCACTTAGTGGTGTAGAAGGGTGTAGAAGGGAGATTTGCAGAGAGTTTTTACTCACTTGCGGTCTGAGAGCCTGGATATCAGCATGATTTGAATCTGTGGCCTGCTCCAGCTGCTGCACCTGGGCGCCCAGGAAATGTAGTTTTGTGCCCAGTTCTGTGATTTTCGCTTGCAGCATTTGGGCGATGTCATCCTTGGATGGGAGCTTTTGCAGCAGTTCTCTGATGCCAGGTTCAGATATTAGTGGAGCCTCCACGATCAGGCCGTCGGCAAAGCTGCGTGGGACACTATGCTGGATCCCGAGGTCTCGGGATCAACATCCGATTTCTCGGGGGAAGAATTTAATTAGGGGCCGAAATCATGAGCCTGTCGGGTACTTGGGGTCTTTGGCTGTGACTGAGTCCCTCTTTTTAATCCACATGTCGTAGGATGTTTGTCGGATTTAGATGATTTATGATGTAATTATGCCAGGAACTTACTTTTAACACAGCATTTATGACAGATTAGAGTTAAGAAGATAAAATAAATTAGGTCCAGGCACCCAGGATTGCCGCAGGAAGGCAGCATTATTGAAACAAAAACTGCACGCTTCGGCCTACACAGGGGAATTTATCACGTTTCATAAAAGCCTCTGTGTAGTCCGAAACATTGCAGTTTTTGTATCAATAAACCTGTCTTCTAGCAGCAATCTTGAGTGCCTGGACCTAATTTACTTTATCTACTAAACTGTTTTTTGCCAACCCTGGCCCTGATAAGCACCTGGATTCCTAAGTGTGAGTGCGATATCCTCCGTTTGTGAATTACTACAGATTAGAGTTAAAAGACTTAAGTAAGATGAATGCTTGAATATGTTTAAATTAATTGCTAGATAGCAATCTGAAGTATCATATGTTAGAAGAAAAGTCAAAAGCTGAAGTTTCCACTGGTTTCTGAAATACCAGTAAAGGAGGCTGACAACAAAGCATGCCAAATCGGTGAACGCAACGTGAGCTAAAGGTGAAGATTCCATTTGAAAATCATCTGCAATCAGTGACAGCAAATACATTCTTACAAAAAGGGGAATGCAGCCATCGTTCCCACAGGACAATGAACAAATGTAACAGCATAATAACAAATTTATCACGGATGACGTCAACCATGATATATTACATCACAAAAGGCACAGCAGCTGACACTATCATCTGATACTACTATTTCACAGTTACTCAAAGAAGAGATGAGGCAAGGTCATTTTTTTTAGCTGATTTTACAGTACTACCATCACATGTGCTTTGACAGTGTATATTATTCTATTCATATTATCATGCTTCACATAGTTAAGTGATTTAAACTGAGCTTTGTCTCTGATACCTTTTTCCATGATGGCTGCAGGGACTAAATGTCAGATTTGATTAGGACTGTGGTAGTAATCATGATCTCTGCTTAATAGTCATAAAACTTGTCTTGAATGTCAATTAAGAAAGAGAAAGAACGAACAGTCAGATGAAATTGAAAACAGATATTCTTTACAGTTCTATAATATTTCTTTTACTATGCGAGTTAGACAAATCAAGGCCATTGCAGATATTGAAAAATCTAAAAATTTAAAAATGTGTGAAGTGTGTACATACTTTGAGAAAAATAAGTCTGCTGCCGTTTTTAATTTGCTGGAGGAAAAAAACAAATTGAATTGCATACACAAATAATTTATAGTCTTATTGGACATCATTGATGGTTATATGGAGGGAGGGGAAAAAAAGTTTCCTTAAGCTAACTAAAACTAACTTAAACTAACTAAAATAACACAGGTCAATTATAACAAAAAATAAACCACACATTTCAATGTTAAACTAATAAATCTTGAGTTCTCCTTAAGTACTGCTTTGAGACCATTTGCTCTAATGTAATATAATGCACCATTCGAAAACAATGTAAAAATGATAATGAAATAGACATGTTAATTTCATAAAGGTAAGGGTTTAGTGGAAAAAATGTATTTCACAGGGAGTTCTGTAGCTAATGTAAAATAATGTAGAAAATGAATAATCTGGGGGAGTGAGAAGTAGAACAGTTGAGCGTAATAAAACAGAACGAGAGACAGATTTGAAAAGTGACAGGAAAGTATGAATAATAATAGATACAGAAACAGGAGCTCTGGCTGTACAGTATATGTTTGGCTCCATCAATGCTTTGCATGTACTGAAGCAAAAAGATGAGTGATGGACAGAGATAAGATGAAAACAAAAAACTGTATTGTGAAATTCATTAAATGTGAATGATTCACCTAAACTTTCAAATTTCCTGCTATACACTGTTTACGAAATATTGACACACAAAACAAAGATTAAAGTACATAAAACAAGGAAATAGAGCCTGAGTCTATTCATTTATTTTTATTTATGCTTTCAGTCTTTAATGTTCATACACTTGGTATAGTTAAAAAATATAAACTAGAATGGATGGTTTAGACTCTAGTCTATTTTTTTCAAAATATATCACAAACTTTTCTCAACATTCCCAATTTGGAGAAATAGTATAAACATAATATTTAAAGCGGCTTTGTCCCTTTCTGGGATATTTGCATATTTTGCAAGACCCTCGATGATGACATTGACACTTAGCATGCAGTCATTTGGGAGTGTGGCTATGGTTATTTAGTTAGTTTAGTTATATTTAGGCAAAGACAATAGTAAACAAGTGAATAAGGCGCTGTGAATTAGTAATAAAATAAGTAAATGAATGAATGAGTGCAAAAAAAGGACAAAAAAAGCAGCAGCTTAAAGTGCACTAGCCCAAAACACACTATATTAGATACATACAAGATAAAAAGGTGTGCTGTGTCTTTAAGACAAAATTCATATATAACACACAAAAAGAGTGAAATTGTAATACAATATACAACTTCACCGTAATAAAGTGACATTTATCATGTGCAGAACATTTCTGAATGTGCAAGATATATCAAAGTGCACTAAACAAGTGCAAAAAACACTCTGTGTGATTTAGTGTGTATAAATATAATAACAACTTACACTAAAGCAGTGTTAATTTTGGCGTCAAATTTCAATTTAGCTTTAGTAGTATTTTAGTAATCTGAATTGTTTTAGATTTAGTATAGTTTTAGTCGGATCAATCTCCAGTGGATTTTTGTATACAAAATCTCCAGTAGATTTTACCTAACACAACTAAAATCTAATGGTTTTACATAAAGCTTCCATCTGTCTCTTTTGACCCTTCCCCGGCCCATCTGTGTCTCTTTCTGTCCTCCCAGCCCCACTAGGTGTCTGTCTCTCAAGCCCTGGTCTGTCTCTGTTGCTCCTTCCACAGACCCTCTGTGCAGTGTTAATTTTGTCAGACTATGACTAAAACTAAATTTCAGTCTTTTGACTAAAATGCCATTTTAGTTTTTGTCATAATTTAGTCATCTGAATTGTTTGTTTTAGTCTAGTTTTGACTAAAATTGTTTGTAGACAAAATTAACACTGCACTAAAGAATCGATGTAGTGAAGTTAAGAGAGAGAAAAAGACAATGTAAATAAAACCACAAAAGGAATTGAAATAAAACTCGCAAACAGAGAGCAGAGAAGTCTGCTCTAATTGTACTCACTCAAAATTGGACTCCCCTGTAGATAATGTTAACGGAAAGACAAAGTCTTTATTAGCAGATAAAGTTAAAGCTGACAGTCAGCTAAGGATTAAAATATCACTGGATCCCTCAGTGATAACAGTCTGTCACTCTGTGCGGCCGCCAGCTTCTGTACTCTGCGTCAAGCTCACACGCCTGGGGTGCCTGTACACTTGTTTGAGATACTTCCGGGAGGGGGGTTAGCGTGATGACGTCTCCGCCATGTCAGATGATGCGTTTTGACGAATCACCGGCTTCAACAGATCTGACCACCCTTAGTCCTTGCAGTCTATATAAGTCCACCCAAAAGGGCGTGAAAGCACAAAATGCTTCTTGTAATTGGCTATAGTGACAAACTATTATATGCATATTTAAATGGTGTAAATGGGAAAAGAAGTCCTCAAAACAGTCTACTGTAATTGTTAAAGGTACACAGTATTCTTTTACAAATACAACAAAAATTGATACACATGTTCTTAAAAAGACAGTCCATAAATATACATTAAAGATTACATGAAGAAATGCATATCAAATATAGTTACAATATATAAAACATAATACAAAAACCTTACTAGTTTTGAAGAAAAAAAAAGAGAATGTTAGGAAATATTACAAACTTTTATATATTAAAAATAATTCAAGGACAATCAGGACAATAGGTGCTATGACGGTACTTAATGTGGTAGCATGGAATGTTCAGGGTTTGAATTCACCACAGAAAAGAGGAGCGGTCTATAAATTTCTAAATGAAAATGATATAGACATTGCCTTTATTCAGGAGACACATTGGATCAACTCCCCAGAGAGACTCTGGAAGTTTAAGAAATTCCCATTAATATTTTCTTCAAATATGGAGGGGAGTAAAAAAAAAAAAAAAGAGGCACTGCTATCATAATCTCCAGCAGAATTAATTGTGAAATGATATATCTAACTGGGGACCCAAATGAAAGATATGTGATACTCATTTCAAAAATTGATGGCGTTATCTATACTTTGGTCAATATTTATGCACCAAATTCTTGCCCAGGGGACTTTTTGGATGAAATCATGGAAAAGGTTGATGAATTAGCATGTGGCAACATTATAATTGGGGGAGATTTTAATTGCGTATTGGACCCAACACGGGACAAAAGTCATAAAAATACTAGAGATCACAAATCTGTAAATATCTATGTTTCCGATTTTTTCAGAATTTCTAGACAGGAATTCTCTATTTGATTGTTGGAGGACTTTGAATCCTAGTGAGAGAGACTATACTTTTTTTTCACATGTCCATCAGACCTATTCTCGAATAGATGTTTGTGGTGAAAGCCGAGTTTTTAAGATCAATTATTAAATTCAATATTGGATCTATAGTTGTGTCGGACCATGCACCAGTATTCATCAAGGTTAAGTTAAAAGATGGTCTTAGATCAAGGACAAGGTGGAGACTTAACGAAATCAGAGTGTAACATTGATTTTTGTTTTTCATCTGAAATTGAAAACTTTTTGACTAGCGATAATTGGGAAGTCTCCACGGCAATGGTATTGTGTACCTTTAAAAGTTTTATAAGGGGATTATTGATTAAACTCGGTTCTGAATTTAAAAGGAAGAAGGGAGAATCTTTGCAAGAATTTAAGAATAAAATTGTCAAATAAGGATGGTTTAAATAAAAATATGGCGAACAAATACTTAATTGAAGAAATAGCTAATTTAAGGGAAATTATCAAAGATAGAATTTATGATAGGGTCAATAAAAATATATTATTTCTTAAGCAAAGATTGTACCATAATAACAATAAAATAAATAGATCTTTCTAATAAAATCAAGAATAACCTTAAAGATAAATCTATAAAAAAAAACCTCTTAGGGAATAAACCTTTAACGTCACCAAATGACATTGCAAACGCATTCGCGAAAATCTATAGATCTCTCTATAATCTACAGGAGGTAGGGAAGAGAAGAGAAGAAATTGATAAATTCTTGAGAAATCTTAAACTACCAAAAATTAATCAAAGGAAGTTGGAAATGTTAAATGCCCCATTTTTATTATCAGAAGTAACCAAAGCAATAGATAACCTAAAACTGAATAAGGCAATTT